CCCGGGCAGGGGCTGGAGGGCTCCGGGATGGGGATGAAGCAGGAGGGGATTGGACCCCCGGGAAGGGTTTCTGCTGGGCTTGCCACGGAGACCTCGGTGCAGGGCTGAGCGGGCCCCGGTGAGGCTCAAGGCAGTTTTCCCTCCAGCATCTCCATCCTCCGTGTCCCAGGAATGTGGTGAGCGGCTCAGGGACTTGCCAGCCAGGAGCTGGCCGCACACCTCCATCCATCTCGGGGGAATGTGTCCCCAGGGACCTCAGGGCACTGCCTGGCCCTGGGCAGAGCTGGGCAGAGTGGCCACGGGGACCTGAGCCCCCGGCCCCCTCCGGGTTAGAGCCTGGCTCTGAGCACCAGCCCTGGGAAGGATGATGCTGGTGGACAAGGCCTGCTCCCCATACCAGCACAGCTCCCATGAGGTTGCAGGATGGCCGGGCCTCGGCCAGGACCTTTCCTGCACCCACAGCTCATGGTAGCCATCACGTGGGACCCTAGCACCCATGGCTCAAGTATGGGGACTGCCCTGGAGCCAGTTGTGGGGAATCCTCCTGCCCTGCTCCGGACACCCATCTCCCAGCAACCACCAGAGCAGACCAGTGGCCGAGACCTACCCCAGAGCTGGAGAAAAACACTGGAAAGCCACTGGCGATGTGACTGCAGTTGGTTGGAGGAGGCGAAAGGGAGAGGATGCCCAGCAAGGTGGGCAGGGACCCCGGCACTGCCCTGACCTCGCTCCCTGCCCACCCAGCGACTGGTGGGACTGTCCCCTGGGGCTCCTCCTCGGCCCAGGGTGCACCACTGACCCTCAGGGTGCCACTCGGCCCCAGGGCATCCTGTGGGACCATATTACTCCTTGGGGGACATCATGCTGCACCCCATCCTCCATGCTGGTGCCTGTGCTCACCTGGGGCTGACCCCAGCTCATGGCCCCAGCACGTGCCCCATCCCACCTCCCCTCTGTCCCCTTGGTCACCCTGCATCCCCCTGTCCCCAGCACCCTACCTAACTGTGCCCTCCCAGCCACCCGCCCAGAGGGTCCCCTCTGGCTCCTGGTGGGGCAGCGGGCAGGTCCGGGGGCATCTTCCTGCGGGTAGCGAGGGGAGCAACAGTGGGGGTCCCTGGGGCCCGGGGCCACCTCACAGCTGGGGGCCCAGGGCAGGGCCACCTGCCACTGAGCAAAGATGCTCCAGGGCTGGCTGCAGGCAACTTTCCCAGGCACACACTGTTCCCAAGCAGGGGAGGAGCAGCGATGCCCCCGCTCTTCTTAAAGGCGCAGCAAGCAGTGCATCCCCTCCTCTTCGTTACCCTTCCTCTCGTTAGGCCCCAGCCCCAGCCCCCAAACCTGGCCACCCAGCTCCAAAGTTCACTGTGGCCATGGGTTTCCCCCTGCCTACCCCAGCTTTGTGGGTCCAGCCGTGGGTCCAGCATCCCCAGGTCAGGACCATCCCCAAACCCTCCTCCCGCCAGAGCTTGCTTAATGAAGGCAGGGCGGCCTGTTCCAATTAGACAAGGGGCTTCGTTAAACAGGGAGCGGAGGGGTCTGCCAAGGGCTCTGTGGCTGGCCCTGGGCCCGGAGCTGGCGAAGCAGCCCCACGGCGCGGTGCCGGCAGCAGGGCACGGGCAGCCGGGGGTCACCCCGGCTAACAGGGGCAGTGCTGGAATGAGCATCGCCCAGCGGGCACCGCAGGCAGAGGCACCGGGGCAGCAATGCTTTGCAGCTGTGCCGGGGGCTCTGCCTGCCACCTCGGCCCCTGGGAATGTGGCAGGCACTGGTGTGGGGTGGTCCCCAAACCCTGCTCCCCCACGGGCAGCCTGGCAGCCCAGGAGCATCTTGACCGTCTTACCAGCAGCATCCCCCTTGCATTGGCACTGGAGGGGGGCATGCAGGGGTGCTGGGTCCCCAAAACCAGAGTCCCTCCCCCTCCACAGTGTTTCCCAGCTCCCCCCTCGCATACCAGGGCCTGCAAAGGAATCCACGGCCCCGGGCGCGTGACGGTGCTGCCTCAGCGGAGGAAGAGCACCAGGTGCGAGTGACTCACATGGCTGCCCCACGCCGCTGCACGCCAGCCCCTCCAGAAACATCCCAAAAAGCTGTCGGCCCTTTCCCAAGCCTGGCAGGCTGGCAGCCAGGCCACCAGTCCTTATTCCCACAGCCGAGGCTTGGGGTTCCCCATCTGGCCAGCTTGGCCCCAAAGCACATTGACTCCTCTCCACTGACACTGATCAAAGCTTGCAGGGCTGACCCTAACCCCAGCCCCTCGCCCCTGCCTGCCCTGTGTATGCCATCCCAGTCCCCAAATCCCCAAATGCCACTCGCCAGCCGGTCACGCACCTCCCATGGCACAGCCTCTGCTGCCCCATAAGTCTCAGATCACGAGAAGCCCCAGAACATCTCCTCAGGTCCCACTGGCCCTAGTCCCTGCAGGGCACTGCCCTGGGCTGCAGACACAGGGGGAGCACCAGCTCTGAGCCCCGCAGGGGGTCATGCCACCCCCAGGGATGGGAGCCCCCTGATTTGAGAGTGGGCATGCAGAAAGCACCAGGGCTGAGCCTCTCCCTGCCCTGTGCTTGCCAGGCGGGCGGCCTCACCGCTGCCTTAGTGAGAAACAAGAGGAAAACCTGTTTTCTTCAGCCCCAGGTGAGGTTTCAGCTCGGCATCGGGCGGCAGGAAAGATGAGTCACACGGCACGGTGAGACGCGAGCTGGGCTGCAGAGCCAGCTGTGGCTGCGGTGCCGTGGGTCCTGCGCCCCATCCTCTGCCCACCCTCTCCACATCCCACAGTCACTGCCTTCAGCGCTGATCTGGCACAGGCTGGGATTCAGCACAACCCTTACAGGATTTTAGTTTCCTGGCCCTACGGCGTTCCGGCAGCGCTCCCCGCTCCAGCACGGCATGGGCATCCCCAGCCGGCAGGGATGCACGGGGCAGCTCCAGGGCTGCTGGAAGGGAGCTGCTGCCTCTCCAGGCCCTCTTAAATTTGGGGGCTTTCAGGTGGAAGGGAGCAGTGAGGGGCTGGCGCCAAGGCGGGCGAGGGGAGGAGGAGCTGGCCAAAGCCAGAGGGGGAACCTCTCCTGCCACGGGGGCCAGTTAGGACACACTCCAGGAATGTCTCCCAGCACCAGCCACTGCCAGCTCCCCACCACGACACCCAGCCGCCCGCCCCCGGCATCCTGGGAAAGGGGCCTGTGGACACCCGTTGCCATCACCAGCCAGCTGAGGGAGAGTGCCAGAGGGCCAGCATCACACTCATGGTGTGGCCTCATGGACTCCCGTGCCACCCCACGGGGCTCCCCAGCAAGCCCAGGGGCCATGGAATGGGCCAGGGAAGGGAACTGGTCACCCCTTACCTCCTGCTGACCTGCCCCAAGGGGTTTGGGATGGGACACGGCCGTGCCAACCCTCCAGACTGCGCTTCACAAGAACAGACAAGCAGACCCCCAGCTCCTCCGTGCCAGAGGGGACATCTTGCAGCTCCCTCTGTCCTGCTGCTGCCCAAAGCCACATCCCTGCAGGAAAAGGAAGCAAAGTATCGCATCAGCATGAAGCCGTGACTGGCGAGCTGCCCTCTCTGCCCAGCGGCTCTGGGGATGCCCAAAGTGAGGGGGATGCTCCTGGCTGTGGGGACCATAGGGGGTGTGGGGGCCGTAGCAGG